AGAACTCAAGTTAGACAACAAGAAATTGGCAAAATTCATGAATTTCACTTTTTCATATCATTTTACTTATTTTATGTACATAATTTCCTATTTCCCTTTCATTATAAATTTTAAACGCATTTATGTTTTATTGCTCTTAACTTTAATAAAACATCAAGTGTGTATTTTATTAAGAAGTGTAAGTATTCTGAGACATGGAAAGGAAAATTTAGATACAGGCATTTTGTCATGAGTTTACATTTATTTATGAAATCTGTCTGCCTAAACTTGAGTGGTTTTAATTCTCTACTCTCCCTCTGAGAGAGGATAGAAGGAATAATTAAATGTTGTGGTAAATTAATTCATCATCAAGAAAATTAAGAAATACATTTCTACTATTTCTCTTCTCTATGTTGATTCATTTGATTTTTTGAGCAAAATAAAAGGCAAAGGTTAAATTTAAATTCGTTCTGCTATAATTTAGTTAAAATATACTTATGACAGATAATTTTAAAATAATATTTTAAAGCTAAAATAATTCTCAAATCCTTTCTCATAGCATTCTGTCTTTTGTGGCATAGATTAGAATGGCCCCCATATCTTGGTCTTCACTATTGTCCTTACATTGCCTTTTTTTAAAGCAATTTTGAAACAATAGACATTTGTGCACATCCTTGTAGTGATCTCCGATATCTAATTATTTGCAAATATCATTGTAAAAGATACGTTCCACATAACTCACTTCCATCTGAATTGACTGACAGCAATGCATCTTTTTGGTTCTCACTGGTGTATTGGTCAGCTTTTCATCGCTGAGACAAACTACTTGAAATCCACAACTGAAGAGAAAATTATTGTGGCTAAAGTTTCAGAGATTTCAGTCCATCGTAGGCTGAATCCATGGCAAAACGTCATGGCTGAATGGCGTGGTGAAGGAAAGCTGCTTACCTCATGGCGGCCAGAAAATAGAGAGGGAGAAAGAGCCAGAGAAAAGAGGTACCCTTCAAAGGTGCATGCCCACTGACCTACTTCCTCCAGTTGAGCTCCACCTCCTAAGAGCCTGCTCAAGTAGGGTTTCAGGAATTCATTGATCCACTAATTAGGTCAGTACTCTCATAATCCAGTCACTTTCCAAAGCTCCACCTGAGACTACCTGACAGCATGGGATTTAGATGCAGACCATAATATCTGAGATATCAGTAGCTTCTTCTTGCAAACTCTCTCTCTCTCTCTCTCTCTCTCTCTCTCTCTCTCTCAACAGTCTTGTTCTGAATCCGAGGCTGGCCTTGAACTCATCACAACACTCCTACCTCAGCCTCCCAAATTCTGGGATTACAGGCATGTGCCACCCCTCCCACTTTAACTCTTATACACCTCCTGTCCAACATAGCCTCACAGACATATATACCCTTACTTGTGTCTATAGTAACAATGCTTTATATACTGAATGCTAATTGTCTTTCACTTCTAGCTTTCACAGTCGAAATTATTTCCTTCGCACATGACCTTCCCACTAAGCAATCCATAGAATATACATTTTAAAAATATACAGAGACTAAATAAGGACTAAAAGGTATAATAGATAATGTGAAATAGGAAGACAAAGTGCAAAGGGGAAGTGGAAGGGGTAGAGGAAACAAAAGAGGGGAATGAAATTAATATGAGAAGAAGAAAAACTGGAAACGGTCTTTGTAGATAGGGAGGGTGGAGGGGCTTAAGGGAGGGCAGGAAAATGGGGAAAAAATAAGAATCAAGATAGATTATGCAAAGATGCAAATTTCCAATGAATGTTGTTATATTGTATACCTAAATGTACCAATAAATTAATTAATAATAATTATACAGAGAAATGAATTAAGGAATACAAATATAATCACATCATGACAGTAAGTTACTCTAATAATTTACCAATAATGTTAATCAAGAATTTAATCATATGAATATAGAACTAAAAATACATAATATTTGCTTTTGATACCTTGGCTATCATACACACACACAACACACATATACCTATATATGTGAATACATATACCTACACATGCATACACACACACACACACACACACACACACACACACACAGATGAAAGTTTACCTGCAGTCTTATCATCCAGTAGTAGCTGCTTTCTTTTGCAGTTCTGGAAATTGAACCCAGAGCCTCCGCACTGAGCTGTATTCTTAGCCCTTTTTAAATTTCAAATTTTAATGTTGGAACAAAGTTTTGCAAAATTATTAGTCTGCTCAGGCTGGCTTTAAACTCCTGATCCTCCTGCCTCCGCATTCTGGGATGCCTGGCATGTCCTTCCACACTTAGCTGCTATACCTACTTTTGTGATATATTCTGTTTATCTGTAGTATTCTCATCACACACCAACTTAGCAATGCATGAATATCCACCTCTCTTGCATAATTACAAGGACTCAACCCATGAAGAATTGTCCTCTAAAAGTTAACAATCTTAGGTTTTAATTTTCTAATTGTATGTTATAGAAAATGTATTATAAACTTTTATATATGTCCTACCTTCTATGGCACTAAATAAAATATTTGATTTCGATTATTTATAGCTATGTCTATTAGAAACCTGTAATTATTCTCCATGTTTGAATTTGATTTACATAATACAAAGTCCAAATTTATCATACATGTTGTGACCTGGGAAGAATCCAATGGAGTTCATTAAAAATGTTTCTTTAGGGGCCGGGGATTTAGCTCAGCGGTTCGGTGGCCTGCCTTGCAAGCACAAGGACCCGAGTTCAATCACCGGCACCGGGAAAAAAAAATGTTTCTTTATTTTCTATTTCCCAAAATAATTTATCTTTATTATTTTTTTAAATTGTTGTTGTTTTGCTTTGGCTAGACTGTTGGTCATGAAGCTGTTTGAAATTCTGTCTTTGTTTGAGTTAAGTCTTGTAACACAGAGCACTGAGCCAGAGATTATCAGCCCATCCCAGCCTTTCAGTACAAGAATCTCTTGACAACAGAAAATTGAGCTGAAGCTCTAGGGGGGCTTTTGTAGCTATGTTGCACCCCTGTATTCACTAGCAGTATTGTCTATACACAACATTTATAAGCAGATTTGCAACAAGACTTACTTTTCAGATGCTTATGATTCCAGTCTATCTCAAAAGCAGATAACCAAACTTGTAAACGATCTTCCAGTGATGCCACTACTGTTTTTACCTATTCCCACCTCCCAGTGTTCTTTACCCTTGCCCCACTACAAGTGTAGGCAAACATACTGAGCTTCTTTTCACTTTAAGTTTAGAAAGTGTGGCCATATTTACATTCATTAAAATTAAAATTTTAGTTCCCATCACATCTTTCTGAATTATGTAATCTTGCCTTCATTTTTGTCTGATTAGGTGGGCTGGAGGTTTTATAATTGGGGAAATTAAAAAGTGCAAAACACGAATACTACCTAAAACATTTCTCTTCCACATTTCAAAAAGTCAACAAGTTTCAGCAAGGCAAAGTAACTACGCTTGTGCAATGTATGTATAGACTACGTTAAACACTGCAGCTCATTTTCCAGAATTTGCAAGAGTGAAGGGGAAGGGAAGGGGGGAATAGGAAAGGAGGAGATGAAAGTGAGAGCTTTGAGTAACTGGACTTCTTAACAGTGACCTTCTTGATGACCACTGTAAATTCTAGGAATGCTGGAATTAATTCGTATGCTGTTTTAATCACTTGGGTATTATACAACTATTTATTATGGATTCAAACTAAAAGTAAATGAAAGAAAATTTCCCTTCAAGAAAGTTAAGGGAAAACAAAATCTTTCAGAATCACATGTATAGCTATGGAAACCTTCTCAAGTTAAGCTTTTTAAACTGTATTTTTCTGATTTAAAATGGGTGGAAGTAGGGAATATCCCAAGACGAGGTATGATCGCATGAGCAGAGCCCTTTCAGCTGTAATGGGGCAAGGTAAACACATCACATCATAAAGTCCATGAATTGGCTGGGCATGGTGGTGCATGCCTGTAATCCCGGCACTCAGGAAGCTGAGGCAGGAGGATCACTGTGAGTTCGAGACCAGCCTGGGCTACATAGTGAGTTCCAGGTCAGTTTTAACTACATAGTGAGACCCTGTCTCAAAAAAAAAACCAAAGAAAGAAAGAAGGAAGGAAGGAAGGGGAGGGGAGGGGAGAGGAGAGGAAGGGGCCAAAGAGAAAGAAAGAAAGAAAGAAAGAAAGAAAGAAAGAAAGAAAGAAAGAAAGAAAGAAAGAAAGAAAGAAAGAAAGAAAGAAAGAAAGAAAGAGAAAGAAAGGAAGGAAGGAAGAAAGTCCATGAATCCAGTGTGCTTTATGTGACACATTTAGGAATGAGAAGGGAAACTCCAAAATGGGGATGAAGGAAGGGGACAAAAAAAAAAGAATCGAGATGTGTAAGATACATGTACCAGTTCCCTCCAGTAAATGTAATCATTATGTTCTGCAAATGTGAAATGTGTACTAATACAAATTTTAAATATTAACTGGCAAAGATTTAATATATCTGCACTTGAAATAAAAAATATCAACTATCCTTCATATATTAACTTCCTTTCTGTAGTCTCAATAGTGTTATGTTAGTGCTAATTCCTTAAAGTGCAAGTTCTTTAATGTGTAAGGGTTCCTGAAGAGAAGTAAGGAACATGTAAAGTTACTGGAATCACCTTGCTATTGTAAGTGCTGTGGATTTTAAATGCATAGGCACTGAAATGAAATCAGCAAGATCATATCAATAAAACAGCTAATAAGCATCTGGTCTTAGATTTGAGCAACCAGTTTCTCTTAACACTCAGTGTGTACCTGACTCGTAAATCTTACACTAGAAGAAAAGAAATCCAATGTACTGTGAGAATAAAACTGTAAAATTTACTGTAAATTGTACTGTAAATTGTACTGTAAATGTTTAAGTTGATTTTTAAAACACCAACAGTACAAGTTATACACACAGAAAATCATGGGATGTACACTAACCAAGTAGAAATCCATTACTCAACAATAATTTGATTTTCTTTTTCATTTTTCAGGAAAAAGCCCAGCATCTCCAGAAGGCTTTTGCTTCAAGAGCTGATAAATCCACACAGACAGAACTTCTAGGCTGTGATGTAAGTAACTATGTAAAACTGTTTTTGTCCTTTCTATTGATATTGGGACCTCCACAGCTTATTTATGTCGGCGATTTCTGTGTCCATGTATTGAATTAAGAGAATTTAGTGGGGCTTCCTTCATCATTTTCTCTTAAACAATTCCAAAACACCTTGCAGAAATGAAAAAGATGATGACAGCAACCAGTAGACAAATCTTGTTAAACTGCTTTAAACCAACATTTCTAATACACTATTTTGAGTTAGCAAATTTTCAGATATGTATTAGGGTACTAGAGCAATTTATTTTAAGAAGGTACTAATACTAATTTATTAACAATTAATAAAGTTATTACATGTGCGTTCCCAAAGGGTCAAACACATTCTTTTTACATGTAGGTGCATAAAAGGAAGCATAACTGTGCACACCAATTTATCATAATACTTTAGCTATTGGGCTTCCGTACAGGCAACTGAAAGTAATTCAATTGGAAGTATTCTTTCTTAGTGTGAAATACTTGTAAGCTGCCGAAATAGGACTATGAAACATTTTTTAATACAATATTGATCCTCGTAACACTGCATGGTTCAAAACACTTTCTTAAACCCAGCTATGAAATTTGCCTTTTGCTGAGCTCATGACCTAAACTTTCTTTGATGAAAAAAATAAAGGAATTAGCTCTATTTTTCATTTAACACTGTGACGACCCTCCTTCTACTTAAAAACATTCATTTATATTATTTCAGTGTTTTGTTATTAAAGGAAATATAATTAAGTTTTATGAAGATTTATAATGTAATGATAATGTATGTTTATCTGCAGGCATGTAGGCATTATATTAAGTAATATAAAGGTAGATGTTATTTTTCTGTTACCATGCAAACTATTAATACATTTAATATGAAACTACTGATCTCGGTTAAGCAATACAGAAAATTCCAGCTCAAGGTCTTTTCAAATGTTTCTATGCTTTATTTTTAATTTGAAAAATGAATGAAGCTTTCTTTTTGAATTTTCCTACCACATTCATTTTAATATGCTTGCTCTAGGTATCTATGTTTTCTAGACATCAGTCTATGACCACAGTACTTCTTCACTGCCCATGTTATATATTATTTAAATGGTGTTATTTATTTTAAACAAAAACAATTTCTATAAAACTCAAAGAGCATTTATCACAGGTTATCCAGTATTACTCTTTCTCAGAGGATATTTTTCTTCTTAAATTTTTCAGTACATTTTTACATCAGCCCCTACCACATACACCCAATATATATTTTTATTAATGTTAACCCATGTGTTTGCAAATCTGCAAGTCAGAGTTTTTTCAATAAGAGTAAGAGACCATAATTTCTGTCATACTGTATTCTAACATAGCATCATATATGCACAGGTATTAAGAGTTATCCTAGAATCCACTACTTCGAAGCTCTCGGTTTTGAGTAAGTTAACTGAATTCCAGAGAGATGAAGTCATTTATTCAGTATCCAGTAACCTTTGCAGTTGTCCAGTCTTTTACTTTTAAAAAATGTGTTCTTAACATGAGGAAAAGAAAGAAAACAAGCATGCATTTGGATTCATATATTGCATTTTCCACTTTCAGAAATAATGTTTGGGAGACTGAATTCTAACTTGAGCATAAATATAAAATTAAGAATTCTGTCTAACCCTGTTATCTTTATGTAATAGTGTCAGTGACTGCTTGTAAGAAATGTTTACTAATGAATCAATGGTACATTTGGAAAATAAGCTATTAACAGTTCTCTACTAACACCGTGGCTTGTAGCAGCCTCTTGTGAATTTTCCCATCTATGTCTCATATTATTTTTATAAAATGTCTTATATCGATGCTATTTCATTCTCCAACCCTGTAAATCAAAATTTAAAAGGTAAATCCTAATCTTCATTATTCCTAGTAGGTCTTTGCACGTGTCAGTGACAGTCTAATGTAGTTTGCAAGACTAAATTAAAGTTAAGAGATAATACTTTCTTGCTTGTGAGTCCTTAGAGTCCTGTTACACCAAGGTTATTATGATGGGTAGTGGGTAACAAATGATATTAATGTGTTCTAAAGATTTCACCTTTCACATTTCCTAGTTGCAAATTCTAGGATATAATCATCAGAATAAACAAAATCATACCCAATATGAATATAGATATTTGTGAAGAAAACTGTATGTAACTGTAATAATAAAATTTAGGACATTTGGATGTGGAAAAACCAGGCAGGGAAATCTTTTAAATGAAAAAATTAAAATATTTAAAGGATGCTGAATTATGTAACTATTTCAAAGTATGTGATTCATCTTTATTATAATGTTTCCCTTAGCCATGAGACATTTTCTATACTTTTCAAACTTATTTAAATAAGTAATCTAATATTTTCATTTGAATAAGAATAATGTATTCTTATATTTTGTTCATATCTTTTCAGAAACATATTTTTATATTTTAGTTTTCACAAGCTATAAACATACATATGTAACTTATTTATAATTTGCAAATAGCACTTACCAGAAAAAAATTTAAATGTTGTAGGATTGTAATATATTATCAATGGTTTTGACAGCCCCGTGTCTTTTTTCTAGAGCTGTCAGTTTTAGCCACAAATCGATAAAATTTTTGCCAGCTTTTCAGGTTCCTATTTCAGGGGTATGAATGCCAGAAAATGTCAAAATGCATGTTAACATTAATATAATTTTTTTAGGAAATTACCCATTGTTACACATTTTGCATAAAATAGGAATTAGACTCTATAGAAGACAGTGATCACAATAAAATCTATTAAAATCTACTACATTGAGTAAGGTTAAGGTCTTGTATAATAAACTACTTATATTCTGGAACAAATTGATCAGGTGTCTTGAATTAATGTTAATTCATTGTGCTCTGATTTCTATTGCACCTGCCAAGAATTTTTAAAGAACAAATTCAGTATATCAGCACAGACCTGTGACCACAATAGTTCTTGTGTTGAGGGAGATGGTTAAATAAATAAAATATGTGTCTTAAGTAATCAACTTAACCTCACTCGCTTTCCTCTGTGCACAGGCTCAGCTTACTGAAAGATCAAAGAATAATTTCTTAGGTGTCATTTGTGTTATTAAAACAGGTTAGAAGATGAAGAGATACACTCAAGTAACAGTGTTGCCCATTACAAGAATATATTGAGAAGATTTTTTATTACATCCACTGTATAAATAAATGCTTCAACATAGCACATGTACTCTTTATAAATACTTTATAGCTTAAAGTACTGCAAATAACATTCTGATTAAGATATCTGCAAAGGAATAGGCAAAATACTACGGTGAAGATCTTAGAGTCTAACAGTGAAAAAATTCAAATGCTTTCATTAATTTAAGAACATAGGTTGTTTTTAGTTTTTTTTATATAAATGAGACTGACTTTAAGTATAAATTTTCATTTTAATTAATGCATGAACGTCACTCAAAATAGTCACAAAACCTCTAAATTTCTCTAAGAAACACTAGCTTTTTTTTTTTTTTTTTTTTTTTTTGTACTGGGGCTTGAACTCATGACCTTGCACTTGTGAGTCAGGCGTGGGACCACTGAGCTCGATCCCGGGCCCTAGACACTAGCATTTTAAGTGAAGGGGGTTTCTACTTCCAATTAGCGTTTGTTTTTAGCTTAGTGTATATTTAATGAATGTTCATTATTCTTGAAATTGCAAGATTTTATTATTTTAAGAGTTTTGACATTAGACATTTCCTCAGATGTTAAATTATTAAATAATATGAATTGAATTATTGGCATTCCTCGTTGTCTATTCAGTACCGGTTATTTGTGGCATCACACACATTTCTACGTCAAGAGTAAATATAAAGCGTTGATCATTTTAATAATGGGTGCTTATTCCACTACATATTTTAAAGTATTTTGGCAGGGTTTCCAAATTGTAAGATTGGCTTCATGATTATCGCTCATACTTATATTAGGAAAATAATAAAGATGATAAAATGTGCCTTATCAGCACATATATTGACAAAATTCTCTGTAATTTACTATGTGTTTTGCAATCTTTGCTTCATTCATTAAATTTAAATGTGTAGGTGCTCCTGGAATACTGTGAAGAGAGTTAGGGTTATCAAAATTGTACATTGTATAATATTTGTGTAGGAATAAGAATGACCAATTTTCACTGTAATTGTTTTATTAACTATTGGGTAGAGTAAGAAAGTTTTTTTCTGTGATGTGCTAATATTTCTCCGTCAGCGGCATAAATTCAAATCTAAGTATTTATGACTATTAACTCGGCTCTCTGAGGACCCACCCTTAATAAGCTGCAGTTTATTGAAGTTTTCTGTTTAGAATCTATTCGTTGCTGTCCTCACTTTTAGGGCCAGTCCTGCTGCAGGACATGTAGAAAACATACACGAGCGTACACAGAATCAGTTTATAAATACACAAATACAAACATACACGAGTATTTGACGTAGATACAAAAATAGACCCGCTCTTATTATATTGGCATTAGAGAGATTGGTGTTAATCATGAATTTATTAATTTTCATGTGTATGTAATGTAATTATTGGAAAGTGCATCTTTATGATTTAATATGACTTGATTTGATATGGTTATGATTTAAACGATTCTTTAAAATTTTAATGTAGGCTAGATTTAAACCAGATTTATATAATTATTAGCTATATATTTCTGAAAACATTTTCTTTTTTACACTGCACTAACTCATGGCTCTATGTTATGTCATGGTCTAACGTTTGTTTCACTAGCCTCTCAAGCTTTACTAATGAAATCACTTCATTTTTCCTGTTTGATCTGCTCTTCTCTTTGTCAACATTACTTGAACGTCATTTAGAAACAGAGAAGGGGATATCGCTCAAGAGAATTATCCCTCTTAATGTTTTGTGTCCATCCAAAGCTTTTACAGCCATCTGACTCATGATTGGAACTTGAGTATACTTAGCTTGTATGCTTTGCTAGTAAAATAACTGAATTTAGAAGAAACAAAATATTGAAATGTTTAGATTAATAATG